TCCCTTAGGGGGAGTGTAACCCCATTCAGGGCGGGGAAATGGCCCTCCAGCCTGTCCGGCGAAGCACCCACTAACAGCACTTCCGTCTTATCTGGATTGAGTTTCAATTTATTAACCCTCATCCAGTCCATTATCAGGTCCAGACACGAGTTCAGCACAGAAATTGCCTCACCTGGATTGGTGGAAAACGAGAGGTAGAGCTGAGTATCGTCAGCATATTGCTGACTCCTCAGCCCAAACCTCCTGATGACCTCTCCCAGCGGTTTCATGTAGATGTTGAACAGCATGGGGGACAGTATTGAGCCCTGAGGAACCCCATGACATAACTGCCATGGGGCAGAGCAACTGTCCCCCAGCACCACCCTCTGGACACGGTCAGCCAGGAAGGAGCGGAACCACCATAAAACAGTGCCCCCAACTCCCAACCCAGCCAGCCTATCCAGAAGGACACCATGGTCGATGGTGTCAAAAGCCGCTGAGAGGTCCAGGAGTATCAACAGGGTCACACTCCCCCTGTCTCTCTCCCGGCAAAGGTCATCGTACAGGGCGACCAAGGCAGTCTCTGTACCAAAACCCGGCCTGAAACCCGATTGAAATGGGTTGCAATTGCAATTCAATTATGCGTGCTACACATTGCCCTTACTCTCCTCAATGAGCTGGATACTTATTTTACCCACCTCAAAAGGATAGACGGGTGGGTGGATCTCAAACCAGCTACCTGGCATTAAACCCAGATCATGGGCAGAGTTTTGGCTGCAGTAGTGCAGTTGAACGACGGCACCACGAAGCTAGAGGTGTTGACATTAAGCGCTGTATCGGCTGCCTTTGATGCTTTCCTTCTAAAAAATTTCGTTGTCTTATTAACTTCTGGCTTTTATTTCTTGCCTTGTTATATTTTAAATGAAGTAGCTGAAATCCACTAATAAGTTACAGCTAAAGTAGACCCATTGGATCATCAGTTCTGTTGGTTCAGTGGGCCTACTCTAGCTTCAGCTTCCTACGAGATTTCAGTCATTGAAATGCTATGATTAGTTAGATAGTGTTGGGGGATTGCTCTGTGATACAGCACATACGTTAGGCGCAGAACATCACAGATATAGCCAACATGTCCATGTATAGCTGGAAAAGACTGGAGCCCAAGAGAACCGTTGAAGAACTAGCAAAGATGCTTAAGAATGAGGAAGGAACCAGGAAAGAGAGAGGCAGAAAGGACAGACGTGGTCAAGTGTTCTTTTTATAATAAATCTTTTTTCCCCCTTCCCCCCCTCATCTCGCTGCAGTCTGTTTGCCTTCTACGATGATAATGAAACAGTGAGAGAAATGAAATCTCAGCCGGTAAGTGAGGCCAGCCCCTGGAGTTATGTGGGTTGGAAGGGGGAGGGAGTATGCCAAGAAGTGTACGTTTTCCTTTTCTAGGAGAGGCGGTAGATATAATTTGTATTCCGGGACACCTGGAAGAAGCAGAGGGTTTTTCTTTTAAAGAACCTTGATTTTGATGAACTGCTGGACAGCTCAGTGGTTGACATCTCTGGCTGTGGAGCCAGTGGTGAGAGAGTTTGATTCTCCCTTGCGCTTCCTTAAGAGGGGCTGGACTTGATAACCCATAGGGTCCCTTCCAGCTCTGCAGTTCCAAGATTATTATATTAATATGATAATTATATTAATATTATTTACATTAATATTATTATATTAATGGTTTATTAAAGAAGTCAATACTGAATAGATGTATTCAGTATATCGTAACCAAAGAACCCCACTAAATATAGTGGTGCCTCGCTAGACAAACGCCTCGCAGGATGAAAAAAATCACAAGACAAAGGGGTCTTATGAGTTTTTTAGTGCCTCGCAAGACGGGCCATCTTGCAATATTTTTTGTCTTTATTTCATTCATTCATTCATTCATTCATTCATTCTGTTTATATCCCACCTATCTGGTCATGTGACCACTCTAGGCGGCTTACAAACAAATGGAACAACAAATAAATATAACAAAAAAGAAATTATTACATAAAATAGCAGTACTTCAAGATGGAGAAAATAAAATAAAAAATAAACCAAAAAAGAAAAGAGAAGAGGAAAGAATCAAATATTTAGGCCTGCCTGAACATCCATGTTTTTAATTGGTTTAAAAAAAATACCCAGTGAAGGGGCCGCACGAATCTCCGGAGGCATATTGTTCCAGAGGCGAGTTCTCCAGCAAGTTTGATCATTTTGGAGCCTGAGAGGGAAAATCCAAGCAACCATTCCAATTCTGCTACACAAGAGTGAAGCTTCTGCTATATAAACCCATGATCTATATAGTGGTTTGCTAACTTCAAACCACCATCTGCTGAGCCATGATTTGTTGTTGTCTTCCACATCTCGGTTTGTGCGAAGTCAAGACCCTCAACTGCGGTTTGTCCCTTCCCCTCCCCCCTCAAGTGCCTGCTTCTGGAACCAGGAGCTGACAAAAATGGGAGGGAAAGAAACAGAGAAACAAAACGATGGCTTTTTGTGACATGCAAACTTATATTATTCATTTATTCATATTTTTATCCCCCCCAACTATTGGCAAAGCCTCTGCTCTGGGTGGCAAACAAATTGCAACAACACAAAGTACACAATAGACCCAATAAAAAATTCACATGAATAGCAAGCAAGGAACATAATATCTAAAAATAAAATAACTAATAAAGAAAAGTAACTATAAAATAGATATACAATGTATTATAGCTCTGCCGTCTTCGCATCGGCCATCCTCATGACTCATTTTGCAACCTCATTTGGTCCCCTCATTTTTTTTTCTCCCAGGTCTACCTCACAGATGCCTTCGGCTTGAAGACCTTGGACGCTCGCAGCGACCTCGTCTTCTGCATCATGCCCGGCGTTTCTCACACGTACTGGCACTCCAATCGCACAGTTTATGACACCTGTGTGGACAAGTGGCTTACATAGCTGGCGGAGCTTGAGAGGAAGCGGGCGGAGGAGAAGAAGCCACAGCCGAGACGCGCGCTGCATTACCTCGCGATGGGATTTCTCCTCCTGCTTCAGACGAAACTCTTCTTACCTGTAGCTTTTCTAGAATGGTTGGAAAATTTCTTTCATAGTGGAAGATAACTTTTTCTGCAGGAATCTGGTAGCTGGGCTGGGGAATTCCAGGGAGATGCGCTGAGTTGGATTGCGGTGATGTGGAGGAATTGGGTCTTCCATCTTTTATCAGGTCTAGTGCTGTACTAGCTATTGGGGGGGGGAGGGTTAAGGGGAAACACATCTCTGATTCAGCATCAGATATTTGAGAATTTTTTAAAAATAGGATGCCTAACTTGGCAAAAAGAGACTGAAAGAAGAAACCGATCACACTTTGATGTCATCCAAAGCATCAGGTGTCATATTTCCTATTCCCAGCCCTCATGCAGAAATTTAACAATATGTGGAAATTTGACAGCATTTCCTTATCAAATCTTAAGACCTAACTTTGGGGGAGGGGGAAATATTTTCAATTGGACCCTTTCCCAATTTTTTACCTCTTCGCAACAACAACAATGCAATCTCACACTATTTTTGAGAGAAATTATATAACCAGGTAAACTAGCAAAAAAGAAAGAAAGAAAAAAAGAAAATCCTTGGCAGAAAACTTTTAGGCTCACATCATTTTTGTTTTATTTTTATTTTTGTGGAGGTAACTTAACTGATTGGCTCAAATTTTGCTTTGCAGAGAAATTGAGTCTACTGTGTTCACTTAACGAAAGTCTCGTTCCATGGCCTTTTCAAAATTCAATGTAAACCTCTCCACAAAACCATAGGAAAATGTAGGGTTCCAGTTTACAGTACTGTAACTCTAATATGTTTCTTTGTTTGCATAAGGAAGCCTGTTTCTCCTGTCCTGGATCAAAGTCAGCATTTAAATGACCAGGGCAATATTTATATTGGTGTGTGTTTCCGTTTCCTTAGAAACACACTTTTAGAATCTCAGGATGGCGACAGAACATCAGTTTAGACAGAGACGCTCATAACCGGCTCTAGCCCGTTTGTTACAGGTCCATGAACCACCTCGCCGGCAGTTGTGGGTGGTTGCCCCGGAGAAGCATCTGCTAAGGTACCCCTCCCCCCTTGGAAAGAAAAAAACCTCAGATCTTCACCATTACAGTATTAACACCTTAATTTTCACAAAGGTACGATAGGACAAAGGCAACAATAATCAGGGTCCACCTTCCTTTCTCAAGACAGGATGTGAAGAAAGAAAACAGTGGAGGCCAGGAAAGGTTGCACTTTGCTTGGTAGGATTTGAGGAAGGGATGTTATTCTTAGAAACGAGATTATCTATATCAGCGATGGCGAAACTATGGCACGTGTGCCACGGCTGGCACGCGAAAACCTTTCTGTGGATACGCGAGCCATAAGTCGTCGGATTGCTGCTACTCCCCCCCCCCCCCCCCCGCAGCCAAACCTTAGGAGACGGTGCTCGCACTTTGACAGGTGGCCAGGATCCAGAGCAGCTGGCGCTGGCCACGGATCCAGAGTGGGGTCTCGAGGCACCTCCGTGTCCGGGATTCCCCCTTCCGCCAACACATCCGGTTCCGCCGCCGCTGCGGACCTCCACCCGCTAGTGTTTTTTTGTTTGTTTTTCTGGTCATTTTGGACACTCGGGCGCAAAAAAGGTTTGCCGCCACTGATCTATACTAACTTTTCCCACCCTGGTGGCCTGTCAGTGTGTTGGACTCCTGGATTCAGATGATGGGAGTTGTAGTCCATCACATGAAGGACAACTGTTTCAGGGAGGCCACTGTGGCCTTTATGAGATCCAGATCGCCTGTCCTGGCATGGGTTTAAACTTGATGATCTTTGAGGTCCCTTCTGTTTTTACAAATCAGTGTTTATAGGAATGAGGTCGATTTTGGACAGTACCGCTTGTTATTGTTTAGGGGAGATTTTGAACTAGGGATAAGGGGCAGAAATATATCTGCAGCCTTAAATGATAGTAATACCACCCAGAGTTGTACTACCTTGTTTTTTTGTGATACCTGTTGATCGGTGGACTCCGTATCAAGCAAACGGGTACATTCAGGTTTCATTATGCAAAACAGACTTACTTGCATAAAGCTGTCTGAATGTTTGCAAAGTTTACTGGCACAGTATGGTACTGTGGGTTTTCCTGTGATGACTGACAACTAACATTTATACAGTACTTATTCAAGCAGCACAGGGCTTGCCTTTGTGCCAGTAGCTGGCACTCAAGGCAGCTAATGATGGTAAGGTTTAAAAAAAACACACACACAAGACAAATGGATTTGAAACATTTGGAAACAGCAGATTTCCAAAATACTTCTGTTAAATTTTAATTATTGAAGGAGAACCACCAATCCAGTCAAAGCATCCCTCACCAATAGCCCAGCTTCGGTGCCAAAGGTGTGATTTTTCTTAATAAGTTAGCTGTGTTTGGTAGCGGAAGGTCAACCAGGAGGGGATAGATGAGGCTGATTTTTTCTCATGCAGGTTAGATGGTGGCCCTGGGAAAGTTGAGGGCAAGCTGTGGGGAAGATTTGAAATCCCAGCATTAAATAATGTAGCCAGTAGAGGAAGAAAATGCCGTATTGCCAAATGTATGCAAAGTGAGAGGGTGGATTTTCCCCCCATGATTTCCCCTTGGCCTGAATAGCAGAGTTTGAGTAGTGAAGGGACAACAGATACATGCCAGACTGCTTTTCTGAGCAGAGTCATTGGTGCAGAGCACTGGAATACCCAGAAATGTCTTCCTGTTATTGTTGGACTGGAATTCCCACTAGCCATAATGATCATGGCGCTAACGGTGAGGCATCGTGGGAGTTGTCATGCTAAAGCATGTGTAGGCCCATGCACTTGCCACACTTCTTGTAGGACAGTGGTTTCTAACCTTGGATCCCCGGATGTTCTCAGACTACATCTTCCAGAAATTCTGGCCAGCACAGCTAGAACTGAAGGTTTTGGGGAGTTTAAGTCCCAAGAACATTATTTATTTGCATATCACCAGCTTCACAGGCAGAGGACCTGGATGTCTTTGGAATTTGGAGCGGTCCCTTCGTGTTAATGTGTAGCATAACTCATTTTATTCCATGGTACTCTTGGGGGGAAAATGGGTGTCTGGTTGGCCAAAGAGCCCAAAAAACTCAGAACAACGGTGTCTGTTTTTGTTTGTGTCTTTGGTCTTTCTGCAAAGCTAGGATCTAGAGGCAGAGTAAAATGTTCCAGTGTGAGAGTTGTGAATTTCTGGAGATCACCTGAGGGGGGAAAATCTGATTTGTTTTTGAGGGGTGTTGCGCCAACTTCTGATGATAGTGAAATAGCACATTTTTATTCACAGGGAGTGTTTTAGTGGATATCTCAGGGGTGTGTGATTGGAGGTGGGCAATTATGGGGCCTGCATCTGAAGATGTTTAGAGACTTCCCTGGAATCAAGGATGTGGGAGGCGAATGGTAAATAACATCCATGCCTGGTGCAGAAAATGGACGCCTTTGGTTATTTCCTGGATCCCTAGAAGAGATTCCTGTGGGTTATAGGAGTAGGAGAAGCAAGGTAGTGTTGGGCTAACAAGTAGCGCAAGATTCAACGCCTGCTGTTCAGATGGGCAGAAACATAGGCTCACATGCTTGATTGGTTTCAGAGCTCATGTCTTGCTTTTGTGATATTTTTTTGAAGATACTGGACTATCTTCCTTGTTAAACACGAAGGGGTCCGTTAAGTAAAGGTCACCGTGGGCTCTTCCTGAGACTGTCTGTAGAGGTGAATAAAGTAACTAGCCTTCTTTTATTGGAAAGTGTATCTCTAAAACAGATGGTGAGAGCAAATGTTGGTTTGTCATTAGTTATATCCCCTTCCTCACTTTTCCGCCAGCAAACATTCATCCTCACAATATCATCACAACAACCCTGTGAGGTTGAGAGGGAGTGACTGGCTCAAGGTCATTCCTCTCACAGTATTTTACATCTTTTAGGTCCATTAATTAGAACGAGCAAAAGGTCTTGATAGAATTTGTGGTCTGGGTACGACCTTGAGAGTTGACACCCAACGAGATGAAATATTCTTGTGACCAGACAAGGACCGAAAAGATCAACCTGGGGAAATCTCATCACCCACCTGGTATAAAATTCATGGAGTGAGTCATTGTGTCAATTTGTTGTAGCAGAAACGATCAACAGTGTTTTGTCATTTTAAAGCAGTGGTTCTCAACCCTGGGGTGCTCACCCACCTGGTATAAAATTCATGGAGTGGGTCATTGTGTCAATTTGTTGTAGCAGAAATGATCAACAGCGTTTCGTCATTTTAAAGCAGTGGTTCTCAACCCCAGGGTGCCCAGATTAAAACTCCCAGAAGTCTTCACCACTCAGATGGCCAGAATTTCTAGAAGTTGAAGTCTTAAGAACATCTGGAGACCAAAGGTTGGGAAGCACCATCTTAAGGACTGAAACGTTGGCTGGATTCCTGTCGCTTAGCATATTAAATTGCACAAAAGCTGTATGCAAGAGCCCAATAAATTAATGGAGACTTCGTGCGTCAATTCCTCTGTACGTTCCATGGATTCAAATGAGCCTCCTTTAACTGCAGTGTATTGTGCAGCTAAACTAAGTCACAGAGTCAGCCCGTTTGAATCTATGGAACTTAACGGAGGACTTGATTCACCAAATCCCCACTGATTCAGTGGGCCTACTCTAGTGCAACCTACTGCACAGAGCAACAAGATTTCAGCCACTGTTTGGGGAAGATAAGCTTTTGTGGCATTATTTGCCGTTCACAAAAGCCAGTGCTGAATAAGGCACATTAAGCCTTTAAGGTTTATAAGGTGTCTTATAAAAAAATATTTGTACAAAGTGAACCCATGTGCTGTTTTTTTTTTTTTTTAAAATAAAGGAAACAGACAGAAACCAAACAGTGAGGAAGACTCTCAAAGATCGATATGAAATGAAAGGTGTACAAACATGCAAGGAGCAAGTGTATTTTTGAGAGAAATGACTTGAGGGTCGGATGCTGTTTTGCATGAACTGGACTGGCATTTTCCCATATTTTTCAGTGGCTCCTGGGTTGGTAGGATGATTGCCAAGGGCCAGAGGGGCCAGGAATTGAACAGAAAATATTCTTAAGGAAGATGTTGATGACTTTATTACTTGAAAGTACGGCCTTTGCTTTCACTGTGGTACAATTTCCCCCCCCACCTCTCTCTGTGTGTGAACGTTTCCCTCAAGAACTGGATTATTGGGCTTTATTTCATCTTCAGTTTAGCTTAGAAATAGCCTTTGATTTCTGGGGTATAAGGAACAAAAGAAACCGTTAGATCTTTGTGTGTGAATCATTTATTCCTCTTATGGGTTGTGTGTGTTTGGAACTTATGGGCCTCAAAGCCACTATGTGGATTTTAGTGGCATAGTTACCTGCTGGGAGCTGACATGTGGCCTAGCGTTATAATTCTAGAGTAATTTAACATTCATTTTGTTTTACTGCATTATTAAACATGGTGTGTGGAAGTGTTTTCAAATCTGCGTTAATATGGATGAGGACACATGGGTTGGTTCTGCATGAATATTTTATCTTAGAATTTTTTAATGCGGTAGTTTGCCTTTTGTTGAAGGGATAGTGCTTAGGAGTTGCTCCCCAAAGTTGTGATGGGTGAGCCATGGATTTTGGGTTTTTGACTTAAAATTAGAGGTGTGGACACCATGGTTAAAATGCAAGTGTAGTTCACTTCGTTAACCGAGGGAGGGAATTAAGGAGGCATGTTAGGGCAAAGAGGTTCTGTTCTCCGAATCTTTTCCCACTTCTGCATGTGAGTTTTCACTAAATTTTGCTTTTCTCCTTTCAATTTTATCTTCACAGCCGTGAGGGCTAGAAACTTGTTTTTACTAAAGAAAATATTTAACACTAAGATTCTTGAGGTTTTGAATTGTGGTGTTCAGCAAAATCATAGGACACACCCTTAAACAGGCGAACAGACTACATTGGTCAATTGGTGGTTGAAATCCTATTGCGTAGTGTAGTAAGTTGTAGTAGAGTAGGCCCATTGAATCAGTGAAGATTTGGTGAGTCAGTTCCTCTAAATTCCATTGATTCAAATGGCTTACTCTAGTTGCAACTTACCATGCCCAAATAAGTCTTAACTAGAGTAGGCTCATTTGAATCAGTGGAACGTCCAGAGAAGTTGACTCACCAAATCCCCACTGATTCAGTGGACTTCCTCCTGTGCAACTTACTGTGCTAAGCAACAGGATTTTAGCCTTTGAATCCTTCGTAGAGTTTGCTCCAGCAACACTGCAGTGACACAGTTAGGATCTACAGAGAAGGAACCCGATCAGCATTTCTGCAGAGAATTTGGTACTTGCTACAAATCCGTCTGGTGTGTATCGGCGTCCTGCAAGGATTGTACGAGAGTACGGGGTGCTGTTATCATGGGGTGTGTTTAATATACACTGCAGGTGCATGTTCATTTTAAAACTGAAATTCAGATAGTACCGTGATGATTTTCTAAATGTCTCCAGTCAGTGAGTTTAGCCATCCCTGAAATCCTTGTGGAAGTGCTTTTTGAAAAAAAACAAAACAAAAATCATTTGATAACAGAGCACATTCTGGACCACAGATAAGGGAACCTTTAGCCCCATCCCCCTTGCTTCTTTTGGACTACAACAGCCACTATCCTTAGGAGTGCTAGAATGGGCCTGCTGGGACTTGTCGGCTGAGACAGGTAAAAGGTTCAGAGGGTCCCCATCTCTGGTTTGGATATTATCAAGTGGGAAGCCTCCGTTCTATCAAGGGTGGTTTGGATATTATCAAGTGGGAAGCCTCTGTTCTATCAAGCGTATCCTCTCTCTCTCTCTTTTTAAAAGCCATTTTTAAGCTGTATCCTTTGCTCCATCTTTTCATTTGCCCAGGTATCCTCTCTCTCTCTCTCTTTTTTTTTAAAAGACATTTTAAGCTGTATCTTTTGCTCCATCTTTTCTTTTGCCCAGACTGCTGGGTGTTTGCTTTTCTGTGTTTCATGGCTGGCTCTTTGAAGTTTTTGTTGCAGATTAACTTGGCGCCTTGCTTTTTTTTTTTTAAGCCATTAGTGGGATGCATTATCCTTAGCAAGAAAAGGGCAGCCGAGTGAAGGCAATCTGCCTTCCGAGGCACATTCAGTAGAACAGATGGTCTTGTGACATTGCCCAAATAGAGAGCAGATAGCAGGAGTCTATGAATGCGGTTGTTTTTCTTGCATCATCCCTTATTGTTCTTTTCTCAAAATCTGTAAGATCTTGATGAAACCTATAGGATTTCAATGGCATATGCATTTCTCTCCCTCTCTTTTTTAAAAACTTATTTATATTCTGCAAAACTGTGGTGTCACCTGCATGGCTCCCATTGTTTCCTATTTGTGCTTTTCATTCACCTTAGGTCCGTGTAGCCTGGCCCTTGTAAACACATTTTTATGCACTGTAGAGCAAAGACCGGCAGGGTGGATAAAAGTTAATGATTTTTTTTAAAAAAAATCAAATTGATTTAAATCACAACTGAAAGAAAAATCATTTTGAAATTTAAATCATGATTCGAATCTGGAAGACAGGTAGACATTTCTTGTTCTTCTAAGAGTGATCCTTAAAGTGCCCCCAGTATTTTCTGTCCAGCGTTTCACCTTTTCTCTGCGGGGTCCGGCTCTGAAAAAAAGAGGAAATGGCTGTATGAGATTGATTCAGGTCTTGGAATTTAACGGTTCATGCATGTTTTAAGTGCAATTTGGCTGGTTCCCCATCATAGAACCAAGAAACATGCTGTCCTTATCACTGTGAACTTCTGATTTTGTTACTCAGTAAAGAAACCATGGGGAAACATGCATGAATGTGACATTTAAAAATAATAATAATTGAAAAGCAGACAGACCTGCTGGAGCATAGGAAGAGATCAAGTACAGTGGGGTCTCTACTTAAGAACTTAATCCGTATTGGAAGGTGGTTCTCAAGTTGAAAAGTTCTTATGTTGAATCTGCATTTCCCATAGGAATGCATTGAAAATGATTTAATCCGTATCTGCTCTTTTCTGTCCATAGAAACTACAGTAGTTTTAAGTTTACTGGTATATTCCTCTCGGATTTCAGGATTAGAGCTTCCCTGGCCGTCCCACTGTGGGAATGGCAAGAAGCTCTTGTTTGTACATTCTGTCGAATTTTCGCCTGTACTTGAAACTAAACCCTACTGAATTTTGTCAATGACTTTTGGTGTATGCGTTGATATGACCGGAACACCTTCCCTTGCCCCTTTGATGCAAGCAATGTTTACATATTTATGGTTTTCAAACCCATGTTTTCATTTTAATTTTTTTTAATTTTTTGGCACGGATTATCTCATGGCTTTGCTGAAGGGGGACTGGCTGAGTGTTTTCTCCAGACATCCCTTTTTTTTGAAAATCCTTCTCTTTTCCTAGGCCAGGCACAGTTTTATAAATGGGTTATGCAGCCTCCTTTTGAGGCAAAAAAGGGGGGTTCAGGCGTGTACATCTTTCAATGGTGTGAAATGTGGCTGCTTTCCCTGCCACCTGAAGTCTCCACGTATTTATAAGAATAAAAGTAATTCATTCCAAAAGAGTACAATGTGTGTGTATGTGTGTGTTGCATTCTAAGTACAAGAGAGGAATCACGAAGCCACTAGCTTCCTGGGAATAAAAACAACTTTGGAAGGAGTTCCAACTCATTTGGGAAATAGGAGAACAAACCTATCCATTCTAAAGGAAATCAACCCTGAGTGCCTCACTGGAAGGACAGATCCTGAAGCTGAGGCTCCAATACTTTGGCCATCTCATGAGAAGAGAAGACTCCCTGGAAAAGACCCTGATGCTGGGAAAGTGTGAGGGCAAGAGGAGAAGGGGACGACAGAGGACGAGATGGATGGACAGTCTCATCGAAGTGACCAGCATGAATTTGACCAAACTCCGGCAGGCAGTGGAAGACAGGAGGGCCTGGTGTGTGCTCTGGTCCATGGGGTCACGAAGAGTCAGACAGACTAAACGACTAAACAACAACAAAGCCCAGATAGTGTTCTAAAGAGCTGACACTCTTCCAGGGTTGTTGGCAAGAGTTCAGATATATTTTTGCCAGACAAAAAAGGGAAGGGTTGGGTGGGTTCAAAATTGCGAGTCAGGTCTGTCCGAGTTATTGGGAAAAAAATGCTGAGTCACCAGTATGACTTAAATCCAACTTGACAGCAAGTCCCACAACTTGAGTCTCCATATTCAACACCCATACCATTGATACGGTTTCCCAAATGTCAGTCCTACTGTTTATACACCACTTGTCCCAAGTACTCAGAGTACATCAGCTGCAAGAGTACATCACCTGCATTGGGGTGGGAGGTCCTCTTGTTGTTTTGGGGCATAGTTTCCCATCATTCCTGATCATTGACCAACGGCCCAAGAACATCTAAAGGAGCCACAGCTTCTCCATCCCCTGATCTATCTTTGCAATAGCTGTGCAAGGTAGGCCAGTATTATCCCCATTTTTCAGGTTTGGCGGGGGAAGAGGGAGGATTTCTGCCCAAAGAACATGTTTGTTGTAGTTGTGGCCGGGTATACATTGGGACCACAAAACACAGTATCCACACCAGAACTAAATAACGTGAAAGACGCTGCAGACTAAAACAACCAGAAAAATCGGCAGTAGCTGAACATGCCCTGAAACAAACTGGACATGAAATCCTATTTCAAAACCCAAAAGTACTGGACAACTGTGAGGTGGCCTTTTATTAGGTAGTGGTCCGACCATGACAAGGGGACTGACGCTCTGCTCAGTCAAGAACACCACGTCTAGCATATGACCACCCATGTGGGCGGAGCCGTTAACGGGTTGGAACATGTCCAAGGAAGCCATGATTTCCAAGAACTCAAGAGCCGGACTGGAAACCTCTGCCTCCGCATGGATGTTGAAATCACCCACGACCAACAACCCTGGGGATCCCAACAGAGCCGTGGAGACAAAGTCTGCCAGCTCCGGTAAGGAAATGGCTGGATCACGGTATACCAGCAAGATACCAATACCATCTCTGGCCCCAATCGACGCATGAAGAGCCTCCAGACCTTCCAGAAGCGTAGCAGGCAGGCGACCACCAGGTGCTGCAAGGTCCAGTCCCAGTTCTAGTCGTCGTAGGTGCAGAGAGACTCGGAACAGGCCAGACGTTGCTGATAGGTGTCGCGGCCAAAGCCCTGGCCCCATGTTGTGTTCGGTCGACTACCCAGGCCACCCAGGCTGGCTCTTCATCCAGGGAATCCAAACATCCAACCTCTGGCCCCACAGCCAGATGCCCAAGCCATGGGACTATCCAGCAGACCTAGCTACTTTTTTTTTACATTCACCAGAAACCTTCTCTCTGTGTGTAAAAGCAGAATTTATTGTGCTTATGTACATACTCATCTGTCATTCTTCTCTAGTTCTTACAACTTTTATGTTATATTGCTGTATAATTATGTATATTGTTTCATGGGGCTTTCCTGGTAAGGAAAATTCCATAGTAAGGAAGATTCCATAACACCCAGGGCAACTCTTGTTAGTATTGTGCCTTCTGAGCAATACTAACAAGAGTTGCCCTGACTGTTACCACCATTTCCTCCTGTGAGTGTCACCTTCAGCTGCTGCTGCCCCCATCGCCACGGAAGCTGTCCATTCTCTTCTGCTGATAACTCCTGTTCCTTTTGGTGAGGGCGGATGCGTCTTAGTCTGGTGCTTCTGCTGTGACCATTCCACCATGGGTGGCCCTGCTAGGAATCCAGACTTGTAACGGAGTCTGGCTTCCTGACAGGGTTGCTCTCAGCTTCACTGACACCATCAAATTCTTCACATTAAGTTGTGCGTCCAGGAAAGGAGATCGCTCATTCACAGGATCTCCATAAATCATAAGCGACTTGACTGCATGCATCAAGAACAATTACATATATTGTACTTGTTTATTATTTGCCATCAAGTCACATCCTGCTTCTAGAGACCCTGAGAGAGTTTTCAAGGCATATGAGATAGAGAGCGGTTTTACTCCTTAAAGGGACGTGGTGGCACTGTGGGTTAAACCGCAGAAGCCGCTGTGCTGCAAGGTCAGAAGACCTGCTGTCGTAAGATCGAATCCACGTGACGGAGTGAGCTCCCGTCGTTTTGTCCCAGCCAACGTAGCGGTTCGAAAGCATGCAAAATGCAAAAATACGAGTAGATAAATAGGTACCACCACGGTGGGAAGGTAAACGGCGTTCCGTGTCTAGTCACGCTGGCCACGTGAACATGGAAGATTGTCTTCGGACAAACGTTAGCTCTATGGGTTGGAAACGGAGATGAGCACCGGCGCCTGGAGTCGGATACGACTGGACAAATTCTCAAGGGGAACCTTTACCTTTACTCCTTAAATACCTCATATACCCTGAATACCTTATTCTTCAGCCCCTCAGTAAGTTTCCATGGCCATGGTGGGATGAAAACCCAGCTCTCCTTGGTCCTAATCCATTACTCTACCCAGCTCTGAACATTATATATTGCAAATACAAAAGACAGTCAAACTGCCAGCCCTGGAGGGTAGCGAACCAATAGCATAGTGGCGCCATGGTTAACTCAGTTGAAGCTCCAGGACTTTCTGAACGCCAGGATTATGATATAATTGTGCTGTTCCTCACCCCATCCACACACCATCTTCTTTTTGTGCTTAGTTTTAGTGCTCACAAAATCCAGGAGAGAAATGGATTTTCCCTGGAACAGGATATCCTTGCAAACTGTCTTACTATGCAAAATATTGGAGGTGGTTTAATTTTCCATTAAGAGCCATAACCTTTACCAAAGACCTGCTTCCGATTGTCTATGCAATAATAATAATAATGACGTGCCGTCAAGAAAATTTTGACTTATGCCAAAACTTTTCAAGGCTTTCGAGGTAGAGAATACTCAGAAGTGGGTTACCCTTCCCTTCTTCTGAAGGCGCCTGGGGACTGTGCATCTTGCTCAAAGCCACACAGGCTGGCTCTTCTCCCTGGAGACGCAGTGGGAACTGAATTTTGTCTATGCAATAATAATAATAATGACGTGCCGTCAAGAAAATTTTGACTTATGCCAAAACTTTTCAAGGCTTTCGAGGTAGAGAATACTCAGAAGTGGGTTACCCTTCCCTTCTTCTGAAGGCGCCTGGGGACTGTGCATCTTGCTCAAAGCCACACAGGCTGGCTCTTCTCCCTGGAGACCCAGTGGGAACTGAATTCCTAACCTCTGGCTACTAACTCACTGATGTAGTTGTGGAAGGGGTAGCCTGTACAGTGGTGCCTCACTAGACAATGATAATCCATTCTACTTAAATCACTGTTTAGTGAAATCATCGTCTAGCAAAAAGCATTTCTCCATTGGAATGTATTGAAACCTCTTTAATGTGTTCCAATGGGGAAGAATCATCATTGTCTAGCGAAGATCGGCCATAGGAAAGCCTCTTTGCGAACCGCCGATCAGCTTTTTAAAAAGCTGTCTTGCGAAGCACAGTCCCCGAAAACACCCATTTTGCGAGTGCGAAGGGAGCTGTCAAAATCGTCGTCTAGCGAAAATTGGTTTGTGAAGCAGGGACCAAACATTGTCCAGCGAAATTCCCCCACAGGAATCACTGTTTTGCGAATCGCTATAGCGATCGCAAAAAGTCAATGTCTAGTGAAAAAACTG